TAACACCCTTCATGCTAGACTTAATTCAGTACGCTATCCATAATTTCGTGCAAAACGAAAAAAATATAGGGGCTTTGGTGCACCATTTACATAAAATCGGACGAAAATATATTTGAGAGCTATATCTAAATCTGAACTGATTTTCACGAAATTTAGCACTCAATATTCTAGTCATAATTCAGTATGCTACGCCAAATTTCGTAATCGAAAAATATATAGGTTTTTCGGTGCACCATTTACATTAATTCGGACGAAAATGGGAGATATATCTAGATGTGAATGGGAGATATATCTAGATGTGTTTCATCCAAATCGGATTATAAATGCGTTCTGTACTTTGTTTACAATTTAGCATCAACAGACGGACGGACATGCATAAATGGACTCAGAAAGTTATTCAATGAATGGAACCATGGGTCTTTAAAAATGCCACATTATTTTTCAATAGTACTGCAATTAACCGGTGAAAAATAAGAGGAAATTTATTTTTGATGGCATGAATTTTTAAACAATTAAACGGGAAAATCAATTAACAGGGTTTAATTATCCGAGGAAATTTACATGTGTTTTCGTATGCAATATTTTTTTGCCCCATCATGTGGTTTAATTAAGAGGGAAAACCAATTAACCGTAGAGTCAATTAACCGAAAAATATTGTACATATTTTGGAAGAAATTAACTATGTAATCTATATAGATATCTAAACAGATTTAATCCATCCTTACATATGACATTTCATGCCATCAGAGAAAAATTAAGTCATTTTATATACCATTTGTATAAAATTGAATAAAATTATTTATTATAACTATATATTAAACTCGATAGTGTGGGCACATTACGCTATCCAAAATTTAGTATCGATCGAACATAAAATGTAATCTATGTAGAATTTTAGAAGAAAAAAGATACTAAATATTGGAAATTGCACTTTATAATCTCAGTACTAAGTTTATTATTTTCATTATATTTATTTTTATTTATATTTACTTATATGTTAATGCAGATTTCAATTTTCTAAAGCCATAGAAATACAACATTGATTTAAGTTAATTCCACATATTTCGATGCCTCGAAGAACTCTCCGGACTCACGTGGGTTCAGATATGAAAAACCAGAAAGAATTATGTCGATAAATGAAGCAATAATGAAGTTATAGCTTAATAAAGATGAAAAAATTGCATAGATAACCTACAATGAAAAATCATAGGAAAATTAAATAACTTTTCGCGTAATTTAATTTCAAAATTTTTTGAAGTCTTACTGATGTGATTAGCTTCAAGATTGCAAAAAGAAAGAATGCTTTATGGCAAACTCGAACAGTAGAAGTGGAACAAAATTCACCACACTTTGATCTCAAAGGGAACAACTGATTATAAAAAGTGAAGTGAGTACTAGCATACATTGGCTTTACAACAAACAAACAAGAGTGGAAAGCGGAATAGGTGAAGAAATAAAAAAAAAATAAATAAATAAAATTTAACAACCAAAAGAGCAAAGAACAAAGCATAAAGATGGCATGTTTGGTCTAATTTGTACATTACCCAAAACACTCTAAATAATTAAAATAGTATACAAAATAAATAAAAACAAATATGTGTGATTGTTTCTACAGTAGCTAAGCTTTGCGCTGTATTCTATATACAATATTTAGACATTAAAAAATGGTAACTAGTGGCAACAAGCCTCAGGATAATGATCATAAGCATAATCTATTTTAACTGACTGTCATTTATGGAATGAATGCCCTCTATCTGTCATCTATTTCTATAAGTAGCCATCTTTATTCATTTATATACCGTTTAAAAATGTTTATTTATTTTCTTTTTTTTTGTTTTTTACTTCGATCGTTCCCACGCCACTCTTTCCCGCCCCTGCCGACCGAGGGGGCCACATCCTCATAACGAGAGGAGCACGTACACCCCATAGTCCGGACTATGGAGGGATATGATGGTATGAAAACTACCGGCTACAAACAATTTCAGCCGGTCATATATGTATTTACTACGAACAAGGACAAAAGAACTACATACGAAGGATTGTTTTTTTTTATGGCATCTACAGAGTCGTAAAATGGTATACAATTATAAAGCTTATTATAAACCTCACATATAGCACGAAAGGGATCATTTAATTCATAATTAGATTTAGCTAAAGAAAGTTTAAGTGGAATGTAGTTACGCGTGTTACGTGGAGGTACATTTAATTTTATTTCTCCAATTAAAAAACTCGAAGCTATATTGCCTCTTAAAAGTTTAGTAATAAAAATTACGCGGAGCATTAAACGTCTTCTCTCAAGAGTTGGGAGATCTATAAGTTTCAATCTATTTTCATAAGGCGGGAGAGCTAAATCTGTATTCCATGGTAAACCTCTAAGAGCAAAAAGAAGAAATTGTTTTTGAACGGATTCTATTTTGTCAGAATAACATTTGTAGAGAGGACTCCAAAGTACGCAACAGTATTCCAAGGTAGGTCGAACAAGAGTTACAAAGAGACGTTTGGTCACGTAGGGATCATCAAACTCTTTAGACCAACGTTTTATAAAGCCTAACAACGACTTCGCTTTATTAACACAAGCCTCAATATGTAAGTGGAAACGAAGTCTATTATCTAGAACAACACCAAGATCAACAAAGGGGTCTACATTTTCTAATGTGTACGATCCTATTGAGTAATTACAAGACACATGTCGTGTTCTAAAGAAAGATAGTTTTTTGCATTTCTTGAGATTGAGAGACATGCCGTTGAAACTACACCAATTTGCAAGGGAATGCAGATCATTTTGTAAATAAATATATTGATTTGAAGAATTAAGATTTGAGAAAAGTTTAACATCATCAGCAAACATTAGCACTCTTGACGTTGTAATAGCTGATGGGAGGTCATTTAAGTACAGAACAAATAAAACAGGACCTAAGTGACTGCCTTGTGGAACACCAGAAGTAACAGTTATGTTCTTAGAGAAAATTTCATTAAATAATACTTTTTGTGTACGGTGTTGTAGGTATGAAGTTATCCATTTTAAGAATAATGATGGAAAACCAATGATGTCCAATTTATACAATAATAGGTGATGTGCTACAGTGTCAAACGCTTTACTGAAGTCAGTGTAAATGACATCTGTTTGAAGTTTATTCACAAAACCATTATGGACGTAACATGTTAGCTCTAATAGATTAGTTAATGTTGACCTCCCAGTTAAGAAACCATGTTTACATGGAGATATTAGAGGGGCAACAATGTGGGATAACCTACGTGTTACAAGTAATTCAAATAACTTGGGGATAGCACTTAATTTCGCAATTCCTCTATAATTTTCAATGTTACTTCTACTACCAGATTTGTGAAGGGGAATTATAAAACTGGATCTCCAAAAATAAGGGAAATAACCAGAAGACAACGACGCATTAAATATATTAGTAAGAGGAATATATAATTCATGAGCACAGGATTTAAGGATATATTCGGGAACACCATCCGGACCAGGTGATTTAGAGTTATTTATCGATTTCAGTCCATTTAAGACTTCATCTTCCGTGAGAGTAATAGGGAGGAAGTTATTTAATTTGTTAATATTGTAGTTGTAGGATGAATTTGTAGAGTATGTTGAGTAGGTACTTTGAAAAAAATCTGCAAACATATCAGATATTTCATTAATATCAGATGATTCTCTACAGCCGAAATTCATACTGCTAGGAAATTCCCGTACTTTACGTTTAGAATTTACAAAGTTATAACAATTTTTGGGGTTATTATGAAGACTATTACTCATTTTATTTAAGTAGCTTGCGTAACTTCTAGAGTTTTCATAGTTATAGGAATTTCGGGCTTTTAAATAATTTACGTAATTCAATGTAGAGTTGCATTTTTTAAATTTTTTATATAGCCTACTTTTAGAATTTTTTAAACGTTTTAGATATGGGTTGGACCACGCCGGACCTCTATCGATGGTATATTTTTGAATGGGGACAGATATTGAAAGTGCATCATTTAAGAGTTTATAAAAGCATGAAATTTTATTATCAATACTACCCTTACTGAACCAATTAATGCTTGATAACGTTTCTTGAAGCAATACTAAATTTGCTTTAGCAAAGTTTAATTTTTTTATTTTACAAGTTTTTGAGGCGACATTCGTTAATTGATTGTATAGTCAAATTTATAGTCAAATTTATGACCACACTAGAAACATTTAGATTTTGAGTTTAGTGACACTCTTGGTTGGTTTAAGAACCAACGAAAGTTTACTATTCGGGTTCGGTTTTAAAATAGCAATAAAAGTTTCTATATTAAAGATGGTTCACGAATCACGATTATAAATATACAAATATTGCAATATGAAACTTTGGGTAAGTTAGTACAATATAGTTTTAAGATTCGCTATTTTCAACTAATTTGATACATTTATATATGAAGGGGTATATGAAAATATGGCATGTTCCCGTACTCAAAAAATGGTAAAGCTTTCCAAATGTATACAGGGAATATCGATTTCGATTAGTTTAAGATTATTTAAGCAGTATACACTTATATAAACATTTTAAACGACGATGTCAACCATTTTCATAAAAAGTTTAATTTTTTCATGATGTCATCATTATCTCTGTACATACGTATACTACTATAAAAAAAAACTTCAATAATAGGACGATTACATTGTACCGGATTAAGTTAACCCAGTGGGTATAAATTGCCAATTCCATTACATATTTGTCAAATAAATAAAAAAATGTACAGTGATTTTTGACGTACTGTATAAAGATGTCTAATTTTGTTCATAAGTTATGTGACTTATGTGATTTCAGAACGGCTCCAATTCGAATTTTTCGAATCTGAAAAATTTTCGGAAGCTAGTAAATATGAGGATACTTACAGCTAATTTAAAGATAAGTTTCACATGCTTCATTCGATTTATTATATTTCATATAACTCATTTAAATACAAACATTTTAAAGTGAAGTTGTTAGATTACTAAAATTGTTGGACCTTGGTTCCACTATTCACTTTTCTTTGTCAATAATTACGTTGTTGAATTTTATAGTTATATCGGCAATTTTCATATTAGTATATATTTCTGTTAATCTTTGAAGAGATTGAATTTCCCTTGTGAATTTTCTATCGAAAGGATAACCCATCGAACGATTGTCCGGATACAGTTTGTCCTTAAGGCCACAGAATGATGAGGAATCATTGCAGCGACTTTCCCTGTAATAGACGATTTTAGTAATAGTGTCCTAAAGAAATATTTTGTACTTACAGCAAATCAGGCTGATTAACAGCGTCACCATTCATATCGGATATCATTACGAATAAATCAAAGTGCATGCCATCTGGTTTACCTTTGGGAAGAAGCAAGTGTTGAGGCCAACCGCAACCACAGAACTGAAATTCGCGCAACTCTTCTTGATCTTTTGGCTGATTGTTGGGACCAATGGGACGAAAAGAGCGCTCGTATGGAATTGTAACACTTGAATTGCTTGACATTTGGTGTATATGATTTACACCCGGATCCACTGTAGGAAACAGAAACATAATATTTACCTTTTTGTACAAATTTATGGAGTATAATAGTAAAACTAAAAACCAAAAAGTCATCCCTTTTTATGCTTTTTAGCAATCATCCAATGGTGAGATAAAATATTGTGCGAAATAAGATTTATTTTCATTCCACTCCAAACTATACCCGGTCTCCAGTTGTATATTATTGAGGTCAAGATTGGGTTGTGTTATACTTACGGGTTACTTTGAATTTATCCATCTCAATAGCCAATTGTCTTTGTTCATTCAAATTTAGGGGAGTTCCACGCTCATCTGACTTAGGACATAGGAATATGCGGCAAGTGCCTTTTATTGGCGTGTTTCTGTTGTTAGTAACTCCGATTACATACTTAAACGGAGCATGTTGTAAGTGTGTGAATGTTGCATAAATATTGCCTTTGGGACCGAAGTCTAATCCAGCTGCTAAATTTACATCTGACCTCTCCAAATAAGTCAAGAGGTTGTTAGGAGTTACGCTTGCGGACGTTAAAGTTACTTCCAAACTATTAATTACAACTCCATTGAATGAGAGCTCCTTTTCGTCATATGAATTGAGACGCTCTTTATGGCGGTTGAAAATGCTATCAATAAATCCGTGCCATCTATAGAAAACGGGATCGCGCATAGCTGTTGTGACATCTCCCATAACACCGAAATCTTCCAGAAAACGTGCTTCGGGATCGTGGCAAAACGATATAGCATTGTGACCTTGATTGTGCAAGTTTCCGTAGTATTCTGGATTGACCGATAGGCTAGTGGCTTCAATAAGGTCTCCCAAAATATCAATACCCTTTTTCGGGTCCAAAGGAATTTCTTTCCCATCCGACTGAAAGTTACAAAATTAAATATATTCAATAAATATACTAATAAAGGTGAATATTTACATCTGTAACATATCCTTTGTCAATGGCGGCAATTATGCGATCGGCCCAGCGCCTCATGTCAGAAATTTCCAAATGAGTATCGTCACGGTCGATATCTGCTAGCTCACTGTTGACGTTGCGTCCGGGATAGGTTCTGCTGTTTAAACTGCTCATAATTTTGGGAAAATAACCCTCCGAGATTGGTGAACGTAAATCATTTAATGGCCGCAACTTTGCTAAGTTGTTACAAAAACGTTCTGTATTGTACCGAGCTAAAATCTGATGATGCATGTAATAGAATAGTTCTCCCCGTCGGTCTTTCTTTACAATGTCCAAAGGACCATAACCAGGATACACTAAATGCCAATGCCAATGATGACTATTTACGCCTATATCCTCCCTGAAATATGCCAATCGTTGTTCTTTCTCTCGATCAGAGGCGGTGTAGTTTAGGGGAATTATAATGTGACGCTATAAATACAAACATTTTTTATATATAAAATACACAAACGCATAAATGTTTCTATACCCGGGTTCCTTGATCTGTGACCACTTCACTTTCCGCACGAGCTTCTTGAAAAACGGATGGTTCCACAAAATTTTGTGGAAATGTTTCAGCAATTGGTTTTATTGGGAAATTCTTTGTATCGGCTCTGTGTTGAACGGCCACCGAAAAGCAGTACTGAAACAAGAAAGGATTCACCCGATCTTTACAGTAAGCGCACGTGGATATGAAAAGATCTTCACTGGGTGCGTTCAAAAATATTTCAATTAACTTCGCTGCAATTTCTTGGTGATTCCTGTTGAAAAGCGAAAACTGACTACGCTTGCCTAATCTTTGAGCAAATTTTAAATCTGGCTTTTGCGGTAGATCACGTACAGGAATTCGAACTTCAAATCCATCGCCAAACCGAGATCCAATGTCGTCCTTTACATCCGAATATTGTTCATTATAAAAGCTTTCAGGTAGGTCAAAAACCGCCTTGCCATCATCTCTCGCTGTAAAGACGGGTTCCAAAGGACGATCAAAGAGTAATTCTAAAGCTTTTTTGTTACTAGCGTTCGACATGTTGTTTGTGCAACATTAATAGATATTTCACACTGCTGAATCTCATGCACTGTTACTTGTTTAAATAGTCGAAAATTTATTATACTATACGAATGTTTTCATATACGTCAACCGCATGCTTTTGGTTGAAAAAATGCGATATTGTTTGAGAAATGTCTCACCGCATATATAAATGCATAAGTTTTACATTTGCATATCAAGCATATGTGATATGAAATATACAACGGCGGTTTTATATCTGAAGCATAATGATATACATTGTAATAAGTGATAAACATTTTGCAACGATATCCAATTTCCCACGTCTCTTTTTCCATCCCCGAACAGCGAACTTCCCTTTCAAATGGATCGCACCACGATTTTAAGAATTGAATCCCAGTTACAGAATTCAACTCAACTGCCACTTTGCATTTTGAACTAACACATGCACTCACCAGAAAAAGTATTCGTACTTAAAATGTCAAACCCAAAAAATATACTGTCTATTAAATCTTAAATGATTTGTTGAAGATTGTGTTTGTTTGTGTTGTGAATTTTATTGATGAGGAAGTGTTATATAGTAGCCACAACTATACATTTTGCGCCTCAATTAATGTGTACGAATACTTTTTCTGGTAGTGAAGTGATCCAAAACGTCATTTCCGCTGAAAATGTGTGAATACACTGAGTCAAGGCAAATATATTAAAAATAAAGTAAACTATCCGCGCAAATTGGTTTGTTTTATAACCCATTAAAACTTGAATACTGAGGTGTACGAACACTTATTTTAGCAAGTGTATACGGGCAATTCGTATATAAGTTCATAATTGTTTTATCATCCATATTTTTAAGTGGGAACCCATCTGGGATTAACAAAAGAAAAGGGTCGGTAACGGAAAACCAGAATCGCGTTATTAGGATTTGTTTCATTCAGCCGTAAGTATATATAAATTATATTTTTTTATAACACTCAAATGATTTTTATTTTTGACGGAAAAAATAAAAATCCCAAAAAGAGTTTTATTTTTGACGGAAAAATATAAAAATCCCAAAAAGAGTTTTATTTTTGTCGGAAAAAAAAATCCCTAAACGAGTTTTATTTTTGACGGAAAAAACAAAAATCCCCAAAAGAGTTTTATTTTTAACGGAAAAATAACAATCATTTTTAACAGTTCAAAATAAACGTTTGAGAATTGAGAGTGTTTTCTCAAGATCACCCATATCCTTAATGGGCTCGTCAATACGAAGCTATTGGTATATGACACTATTGGTGTCCCATGTCTCTAACCTGAAGAGTTTTTTGTTCGCATTTTCAAAAATAATTGTTATTTTCGGGTCTTTGGAAATAGCGAAGAGGTTCTGGGTGTATGGATGGTAACGATCATGGTGAGGTAAATATTGATGTTAACTGAATAAATGATTTCTTTGTAGACTCTTCAAATAATGCTAATGAAACTTCCCAAATTGATTTTCATTGATTCAAATGCATTTTTTATTCCAATGTGTAGATGAAAATGAGTTTTCTGAAGTCATGCTTAAAGTAAAATCTAAGTCAAACTAATTTTCCCCATATAGGGTAGACGCACCTAATTCCGGCATGTACCAATAGTCGGCATCTGTTTTATATAACTTCAAATAACTAAAAAATCATATAACTAAATATGAAAAATACCTTGAATAATCCTCAATAACACTCCAACCTATCTCTGGATAAAATTTAATTGAGCTAAGTACATTTATTCAGTCAAAATTTGGCATTTAGTCAATGAGGTTTGTCAAAACTAGCAAAAATGCATGTTTCTTATGAAAAAATTAGTAGGCATGTCGATTTCAAAAGACTGTAACTATATTAAAGTTATATATTTTTCACAAGAATCTTCTTCGTAATTGTAAAGAACATAGAGGAGAATACATTAGAATTTAAAATCATTAAAAAATATTTGTGATTATGATATTTTTATCGATGCCGCCCTTAGGAACAAATTTTTTGAAGGTTTTCCTATAGTCGACATATGGGTGAATAAAAAGCACCTTTCCGATCATTTTGGCTCAAAATTGGAAAACATGTTAAATAAGTGCTCTAAATAACGATTAATTTATAAAAAAAACAGTTTTGAGTGGTTTTACATAATGGAAAACTTTGTTTAATCTTTAATTTTTTTAACCTATGAAATGTCTTATTTAGCCATGCCGAAAATATGATAACAGATTCCCAAAGTCGGCACCATATTTTATAATTGTAATATTTTAATAAATAATATTATTTTATATAACTTTTTCAATACAAAACCGATAGAAACGTCCTGTAGTAATAATATATTATTGCAAATAGCAGAAAAATCGAATAAATATATAATTTTTGTTTAACTAAAATGCGACATGCCGACTATTGGAACATAACATGGGAAAAAGTGCCGACTATTGGCACAAAGGCACTATTTTACATAATTATTAATTTAATCTACTTTAATACAAATTAATTAAACAAATTTGTATTCCATCGGGGAGTAAACAAAATTTAGAAACAGATGAACCTAAGTACAACATCGTGGAAAAGATGCACTTGGAATGGTGAAACGTTAAAAAAGCGAAAATTCTTAAAGTGCCGACTATTGGTGCACTTACCCTATATTTGGTGTGATTATAATTTTCGCTTTTTCTTATCTTTGTGATAGAAGACAATTTGTTGGGTTAAATGGAGTTGAATCTGATACTCATCCTCTATTCTCGGGTGTGCCACAGGTTTCAGTTCTTGGTCCACTATTTTTTATATTGTATTTAAATTATCTTTCTACTGATTATATATTTTCCTACTTTTTAGAAGTCGTGATGATCCAGATCTACTGGAAAGTTTTATTAACTCTAAACTATTATCCATTATAAACTGGCCTCTAGAAATCCTTTAAAGACTAAAACATTAATGTTTAATTTTAATAACCGATCACGATAAAATTAACTGTGGAACAGCATAAATGCTGAGGCGTTGTCGTTGACAATGAGCTTTCGTTTAAAAGTCATATTGACACTTTGGAGGGTAAAGTTTGGGGAATTTAGGGTTTAAACCTTTATATTCCTCAACGAGGGAAGTTGATGTTAGCATATGCCCTTTTACTGTCCCAAGTCTTATATAGTCTTGATGTGTATTCAGTTACAGCTGGCAACTATACTGACAAATAAAGAGAATTGTGAATACGTTTCATCTCCAATGTTCCTCGTGGTAGTCACATCTTCTCCCATGTTATTAGTTTTCTTGGTTGTTCATTCCAAATGTACATATGTAAAATGTCGCTACATTTTACTTTTTTATAAATTAATAAAAAAATGGTATTAAATAAAATCGCACCGAATTAAAGAATATTTATGTTAATTACATAGCCATACAACTATATTTGTTAATATTCTTTGATTTAATTTTCAAATATTGGTTTAAAATTACTGCAAATATTATATTTCCTTAGATAAGAATAAAGGTTTCATTTAATTTGGAAAAAGTTTCATTCTATTTGTAAAAGGTTTCATTCCATTTGTAAAAAGTTTCATTCTATTTGTAAAAGGTTTCATTTAGTTTGGAAAAGGGTACATTTAATTTGGAAAAGGTTTCATTTAATTTGGAAAAGGTTTCATTTAATTTGGAAAAGGTTTCATTTAATTTGGAAAAGGGTTCATTTAATTTGTAAAAGGTTTCATTTAATCTGGAAATGCTATATATGGGCACTTTCGCAGTCACTTAAATGACTTTCAGAGGCAAAATCAAGCTTTAAATGTTAAACATTTAAACAAAAAAAAATCAAACTTTAAATGTTAAACATTTCAAGGTTTGATTTTTGATTTGAATCGAAAACAATTCATTGTTTTTACGATTCTCTTTTGTATAACTTTAGGAGGGAAACAATTCTTTTGAAACAAAAAGTTGTTTCAAAGTGCAGAAACTCTGTCAGTGGTAAATATTAATTCAAATTATGAACTGTTTAATGGAAATTAAGATATAAAAGAAAAAGTCGTTAATTAAATAGTATCTAAAAAAATCGTAAAAATCCGTGAAAATTTCCCAAAAATATTATGAAGCCTATTTGCCTTTTCACGAATTTTTTATTGAGCTATTATGATTGCATCACGTCGTAGTTGCTTTTGATATATTTTGGGAAAAAATGAGAATTATTGAAAATTTTAAAAATATTTAATTTTTTCAATTGGATTGACATTGTGTTGAAACTATTTTATGTGAAAATAAAAAAAAAATAATTGAGAAGTATATAACTGTATACCCGCGATCATTGATTGTACACGTTTTCCAAAGAATGGTCGAACATTTTGGAACAAAAGCAATATTACAGGAAAATTTGGTTTCAAACCTTCATTTAAGTTGGAATAAAAAAAGTTTAAACCTTTTGGAAAATGCGTATAATAAAATATTAAAATAATGGTCTTAAATACATCATATTTTTCCATTTGGTAATTTTGGATGTACATGTAAAGTTTTGTTAATAAGCCGACTCAAATTACTTAATTAGAATTTTGCAACTTTATTTTATATTAATTCTTTGCATTCTCTAATCAGTGGGTATGCGAAATTTTCGATATTAGTAAAAATGTTTTTTTTTCGGTTATTTGTTAAAAAATAATAGAGTGAGTCTTGCATTCGTTGATTTAAATTTTCCATTTTGGAAAATATTTGTGACATGTTTGCATACTCCTCTCCACTTTATTTAATAAGGCACGTGTTAACTTGCTGGAGGATATGAGTGCAGTACTGTCTTTAACGTCTTAAACTTAGCCGTATACAATAAATAGAATAGTGGGGAAAGAATAGATCCTTGGGGCAATCCTGTCGATATTAGCTTGACCCAGCATATGTAAATCTGACTAGTTTAAAAAAATGATAGATGTTTCAAAACGTAAATAACATATTATGGTCAAACAAGCTTCACATATATTGAAAGAAAGGGTAAATATAAAAATAGATGTATTAGATTTTGACGTGGAAGTAGATGGATTAACAGGAATAGTATTATCGACCACA